TCTTGATAATCAGAAATTTTTAAAGAAACTTACAGTTAAACATTTCTTTGAAAAACGAACTCAAGATAGCTCAAATGTGATCCAAGACCCCAATTTAACAAATAATTTAGACATAATAAATGAAAACGAAAATGAAAATAATGACTTTGAAGGCATTATACATTCCAAATTAAAAAATAAATCAAATTTTTACCCTTCCTTTGCAAGAGGGAAGTTTCTAGAGGTTTTCAATGACCTCGTACAAACTGATCTGCATAAGATTAAAAACACAAATTATAAACACAATCTCACTATCAAAGAAAGAGAAGCTTTAAAAAATCTTAAGAAAAACCACAATTTAGTGATCAAGGAGGCAGATAAAGGAGGTGGCACTGTAATTATGAGTAGGGAATACTATATGCAGGAGGCGTATCATATTCTAGGAGATAAAGTCACTTATAAAATATTAGAACAAGATCCTAGTAAGATCTTTTTACAAGAACTTAGAACATTATTACAACAAGGTCTAGACAACAATATAATTTCAATAGACGAATTTAAGTTTATGTTTAACCCTTTCTGTAAAACAGCCATTTTTTATTTTTTATTTTTTACCCAAAATCCACAAGTGCCTTACCTCCCCCCCAGGTCGACCTATCATCAGTGGGATTAACTCCCTCACTTGCAATCTTTCGGAATATGTAGACGCCTTCTTAAAACCATTTGTACCTTTCTGTCCCTCTTATATAAGAGATACTAAGCATCTCTTACAAGATCTACAGACCTTCGAATGGAAGTCCTCCTATTTACTGGCTACAATTGATGTTACCTCCCTGTATTCAAACATACCTCACTCTAAGGGATTGGAAGTTATTAAAGATACTTTGACCCAACAGAATGGTCTATGCATACAACAAATAGATTTTTTGGTTTTGTGTATTCAGTTTGTATTGACAAAAAATTTTTTTTGGTTTGATTCAGTCTTCTTTTTACAGCTATGTGGTGTCGCCATGGGGACGAGGTTCGCCCCAAGTTTTGCCAACCTTTATGTGGCCCATTGGGAGTCGCAACATGTCACCTTGGGATCCCACCTTGGGGGGAACCTTGTCCTATGGCGACGCTACATAGATGATGTGCTTATTATTTGGGAAGGCAATCATACCAGCCTTACGGATTTTATTGAGGACATCAATCAAAATGATTATAATCTAAAATTTACTTCTTCAATACATCACGAATCAATAGATTTTCTAGACTTGACTATATATGTCGAGGAAAACACATTAAGAACTAAGACATTTTTAAAAAAAAACGACTGCAATACTGCAATTAAAAACAATAGTTTACACCATCCACTATGGTTGGACAATATCCCCAAGGGACAAATAATCCGTATGAGAAGAAATTGCTCTACTACACATTCTTTTGAAGAGCAATCTCGAATCATACAAAATAGATATGTGGAGAAGGGATATAATAAGAAACGAATTGATCTGGAGATACAGAATATCAAAACAAAGAATCGATCTGAATTTCTAATAGATAGACAAAAAGGGAATCACAATAAAGGAAAGTTCGAATTTGCATTCACAACAAAATACAACACACATGCAAAAAAGATTGAAAATATTTTAAAAAAACATTGGGCAATCCTTAAACAGGACGAAGTGCTAGGCCAGGTTTTACCAAACAAACCCCTGGTCATATATAAGAAAGCCGATAATTTAAAATCTCAACTGGCCCCCAGCCTTTTATATACTAATAAACCAAAGAAACATTTTTTGGAATCATCAAAAACTCCAGGTTTCCATAAATGTGGAAAGTGTTCCACATGTATAAACTTAGACAAAAAGATTGTCGATTTCAAAGGCACATACACCCAAAAAACATATCAAATTAAAAATTTTTTACATTGTACCACTACATATGCCATATATCTGCTCCAATGTGGATGTGGGGCACAATATGTAGGTAGGACTACCCGTCAACTACATATTAGGTTCAGAGAACATTTCCTTAATATAAGAAACAAAAAAATGGATCACAGTGTACCTAGACACTGTAACACATGTAGTTCTTTTGAATGGTCCACCTTTTGTGCCTTTGGAATCGATAGGATAGATGTACACTGGAGGGGAGGTAACAGAATGCAAGAGCTAATTAAAAAAGAAGCAGAATGGATATACAATTTAAGAACACTTAAAACCGGTTTAAATCAAGATATTGATTTAACTGGTCTAATTTAATGATATACAAATTAATCCAATAATTATCCTTCTTCCAAAATTTCTTTTTCTCTTTTCTATATCCTGGTCTTATTGATAGTAGTTTGAAATTTGTCTATATTTACCTATATAAGTTCCACATCTGGATATATTGTATTATATGTACTATATGGATATTAATGCTTATCTCTATCTTATAGATGGATGTTGAACTCATTACACTTTATATTTGCATATTATCTAATTGTATTTATTTAATTATTGTATTTGAGAGTGCTATATTATGCGAAAAAAAAAAAAAAAAAATTATATATATTTTGTAGACTATATATATATATATACTATCTTTGATATATGTTCAGTTATTATTAATATTTGTACATCTGTTCCCATTGTACATTGGATTGGGCTACAATGATATTATACATTTGTTTTTTCAAATTTGTACCCTTTTGGGGTTTCATGTATATAACAATCATGCATTCTGATATTACAGAATATACATTGTACTATTACTCCTTTTTTATAATGTCTTACATGTCATGTTTTAAATATGACATGTTTTAATCTGGTCCATATTATATAACATCCATTTAGTCCTTTATAGTTATTCTTTTTTATTTTATGCAGATTTTTAATACTTTATTATTTTCATGGCATACAGACTTCTTTTTCTGTCCCATATTTGTATAATGGGAACTGATTGTTGCCCCAGAGGGGAAGCCTTTTCTGCTGCACTTCTATTAGTGCTAGCAGAAGAGGGCTCCCCTCGATCGGATTAGATCCGAAACCGGAAGTGATGTCATGCGTTCCAAGGTGGAACGCAAGAAGCCCACTTGATTGGATGAGACCGGAAACCGGAAGTGACGCTATGCGTTCCAAGGTGGAACGCAGGAAGTCTAAGGGCCGAAAACCGGAAGTAACATGTGAATTTCCCCGCGAATTTGAAAATTGGCATGATATATAAACCATGAAGATTACAACACATCTATATCCCTGAGGAAGTCACCATAGTGACGAAACGCGTTGGATACTACTTTTGGACTTTTTATGCTAATATACAGCTGTTATTATAGTCCATTTGTTATTTTTATTTATTTTATTTTATATTTTTTTAATTTTGTGTACCTCCATTTTGGGATCTCTCTCTACTTTCACCTGGAGACCCGGCCATTACTTCATTATGGAGATATGCTGTCTTACTTCTGATTTCTTGTAAGTGCAATATTTGGAATAAATTTTGTTATTTTTATACAATCTGCACTATCTATATTTTTTCTTTTGTTCCTGAGCTGAAGGAAAAAGGGATATTTTATTCCTGAGCTGAAGAAAAAGTGATATTGTCAGTCCTCGCCATATATATTCGGTCTCCAATGTGGAAAGTACCCCTGACAGGATGACAGGCGTGATTACTACTCCCTTCTTGTAAGTTTTCTACCACGTGCAAATCCAATTTTGCCTAACTTACTTCACTATATTTTGTATTTTGCTATTTTATAGATTCCACGTTCATTTTCAGCCATATTCAGGTTGTATTGTTCTCAACCACCCTCTATTTGTATATATCACCTTTGGGTTTTTATATATACGTCCTTGTGTTTATTCTTTATAGTGTGTGTGTGAGGTACACTTCTCTGAGGGTGTGTTTTTCTAGTGTATCATATAGTAAGCATATCCTTTTTTGTATCTTTAACACATACACAGTCACCGAAAGGCACCCTAACTGACACACACACATTCACTTAAAGATACACATACACACTCACTGACAAGACACATGTACATTCACTGACAAGACACATACTCACTGACAGATGCACACTCACTCAGTCTCAGACACACACACACTGTGACATACATATACTCACTGACAGACACATATATACTCAATGTCAGACACACATATTCACTAACAGATATACATTGACTGACAGATACACACTCTCACTAACATGCATACACACACTGGCAGACACATATACATTCAGTGTCAGACACAAATTCACTAACAGACATACACGCACTCTCACTGACACACACTCTTTGACAGACACACATACACACTCAGTAACATACACACACTCTCACTAACACACAGACACACTAACACACTAACCAACAGACACACACACTTACACTCACTAACAGACACACACACACACTCTCACTGACACACCCCCAGACACACACACACACACACACACACACTAACACACTCACTAACAGACACACACACTAATTTTTTTTATTATTTGTTTA